TCAACCGTTTAGAAAGAAGTTAAAGAATGTTTATCCTATCAAATCAACTGAATTTGGTACTCTTACGGTTCTAAATCCACCAGAAGGAACTGCTAAATGCGATCAAATTAAAAAGAATGAGGAGTTAGAAAATATGAGACATTTGAAGATTGATCTAAGACAGAAGGAAGTTAAGGAAAGAGATAGGGATGCTATAATACTCATAAGGTAGGCATTATGGCCAAGTTGGATGATAGAAAGAATGCTCAATTCATCGATTAAGGATGTTGAAAAATATTGGCTTAATTTATTGTCATCTTTTGATATTGGAAACAAGAATGATTGTCAACTTGACTTCCTTGTGACTTCAAGTTGATTCTTATGGAGGAGCTTTTCAAACACTCAAGGTGTTTCATTGTATGATGGAAATATGAATAAGAAACTGTTCAAGTTTTATGCATCATAATCAAGACCACAATATGAAGTATGGGGCTTAAGAAAATCTCAGTTGTGATTGATTTTCAAACTGAAAGCTATCTGAATGATACTTTTATGAATTACAAGTTTAATGCTCTAAGGGGAAGTGATAATGATGAATCCTAATTCTCTATTAGTTGATCTTTCAATTATGAATCCTCGTGATTGGTTTTCACTATCTTCTATCCTTTCCAAAGAGAAAGCAAAGTACTTGAATCAAATCATCTATCTAAACAAAATGATCATATTGATTTTGTTGAGATCTGTAACATAGATATATAGTTGGAAGAATTTTTATAAAAGAAGCCCACTCGAACCTTGCGATCAACTTGATGACATTCAAAGTATGAAGGGTGGGAAAATTTAGAAGGATACTTGGCGAGTAGTATATAAACAGTCGTGAACAAGAATTTAAAGAATCGGATGTTTTATATACAAGACAAGCATAGTTACAAGATTAGAACTTTAAATGACATTCTTTCAAAGGTTTAGCTTTGTATACATAGTTCGAAGAATTAAGTGAATCTTGTGTCCGATATGCTAAAGTGGTGGATCACAATTCAAACTAGTTTGTGTGGTTACGCTCATCAGGTTCTTTAAAAAAGTACATATAGACTTATTCCACGATTCAACACAATGGGGGAGATTATTAGGTCTTGGAGTTTATTTTATGTTATGTCGGAGTCTGCTGTGAAAGTTGTTATTCTAATATCTTATTCTTCAATGTAATGTTTTGATGTATGTTAGGTTTAAGAATGTTAACACCTTAGGTTTCAGAGTGACCTTTTACTTAATTGTTATACAACATGTCACTGCCTAGGTGTCATGACCTTAATGGTTATTCTCTAACTTACTGGTTGTATGTCAACCTATATGTTATAAGTAGTGATGTTAATTAGAAGGCAGAGTAAGTATTTTGCTAGTTCCTACATTCAAAAGTCGTAATTGAGCTTTCTTACTCTAAATCAAATCAAAAGGTTATTTACATTCTCGTGTTAACATTTATTTTGTTCAATCATGATTTCTTACATTTCGTATCAATAAATTGATCCAACAAACAATAATAATAATAATAATAATAATAATAATAATAATAATAATAACAACAACAACAATTAAAGTCTAATTTGGCCCATTTTGATGTTTATAGTCTATTTTAACATGGTTTGAACTGTATTGTCTAATTTAGCATACTTGAACTATAGGTATTGGTTAAACTTAATATAGCCACATGGATAGTTGCTTCGACTAAATTGATATATTTGTAAAGCATTAAGGTATAATTTAACACAACTTGAACTTTGAAAAATTAAATGGTGACAACCCAAATAAGGAAATCTCCAGAAAAGTCCCAATATTTTATGAATTTTTTTAATAAAGTCTTAAATTTTATTTTATTAATAGAGAAGTCCCAACTTTTTAACTTTTGAATGGAAAATCTCAAGAAATCGGCTAATTTATTCATTTTAGCCATTTTTGACCTGTTTAGCAAGTCATAGGGCTAAATTGTAAATTTTTTCAAAATAAAGAGACTTTTCTGCAGATTTCGTCAAAATTTGTATATATTATATAAACGTATTTTTTTAAGAATTTATATCTATTTTTACGTATTTATGATTTTTTTTTAAAGTTTTTTATGTCTATGTTTACATATTTTTATGTATTTTAAATATATAAACGTATTTTTTTACGTATTTATATGTATTTTAAACCATTTTATATATTTTTTATGTATTATGTAGTTTTATGTATTTTTACGTATTTATGTATTTTTTAAGTTTATTCTATAGATGCTTATGTATTTTAAATTTATAAACGTACTTTTTTAAGTATTTATATGTATTTTTAAGTATTTTACATAATTTTATATATTTTTATATGCTTTTTATATAATATATATTTATATATATGTTTACGTTTTTATGAATTTTTTAAAGCTTTCTATATAGATGTTTATGTATTTTAAATGTATAAATATAGTTTTTTCACATGTTTATATGTAATTTTAAGTATTTTACATATTTTTACGTGCTTTTATGTATTATGTATTTATAAGTATTTCTACGTATTTATGTACTTTTTACTATTTAATATAGATGTTTATGTATTTTTATGTATTTTAAATGTATAACCATATTATTTTTACGTATTTAAGTATTTTTTTTTTTTTACTTTCAGTCTTCTTCATCATTCTATCTAATTTACACAACTTCATTGAGTATTTCTATATCGTTATTTTAAACTTTTCTCATTTTATATTTAAATTTAAGATAAACGAATGAGAAAAGCTTAAAAAATTATATTTATATAATTAAATTACATAAAATACATAAACATCTATATAAAAAACTTTAAAAAAATACTTAAATTCATAAAAATACATATAAATACGTAATACATAAAAAAACATTAAAATACATAAAAATATGTAAAATACTTAGAAATATATATAAATACATTAAAAAAAATACGTTTATACATTTAAAATACATAAACATCTATATAAAAAAAAAATTTAAAAATACATAAATCAGTAATACAAAAAAAAAACAACAAATAGTAATAAATAAATAAAATATGTAAATACTTAAAAATGCATATAAATACGTAAAAATACGTTTATCAATTTAAAATACATAAAAACTGTAAATATATATATATATATATATATATATATATATATATATATATATATATATATATATATATATATAAACTTAAAAAAACGACATAAATTCGTAAAAAAAATAAATATAAATACGTAATACTTAAATAAATAACACAAAAATACGTTAAAATTATGTAAAATACTTACAAATACGTATAAAACATAAAAAAAAATACGTTTATATATTTAAAATACATAAACATATACATATAAAAACTTAAAAAGTACATAAATACTTAAAAACAGATATAAATTACGTTTATATATTATATAAACGTTTTCACAAAATATCAAAAAAATTCATTAATTTTGAAAAAATTAATAATTTAATCTTATGACTTACTAATCAGGTCAAAAAGATTAAAACGAATAAATTAGTTGGTTTAAATGTTTGACTCTCCATTTTGATGTAGGAATAGTATTACTTTAATGGTACAAAAAGATGGTGTTGGTTGGAACAAAATCATGTAAATATTGATGCAAAAACTAAAATTTGGTGTTGGGTTGGAGATCGCATCCACAAGTCCGCATCAAAATTTGTTGAATGTTATAGAATAATATACATATAGCATGAGTACATCTGCAATTATATATTAGAACTAACCCTTAATAGATTTGTGAACAAGAAAACACATATAGATGATAAATCAGCTACAAATTGGACAGTGAACCAGTCCATTCTCATTACATTCACCACATCGTACCACCGCCCTTTTCCCCCCCTCTTTCCTCCAATCCATCGTCATCTTACAACTCCCATTGCAACTGAAACACGGCAAGAATCTAACGCCACCACAACCTTCGCACACATACCCAGCTTTTGATTTAGGCAAACCTTCAAGCAATAGGCCCAACGACCCTTCTTCCAACGTCTTCAATACCTCATTAGCTCCACCCACGTATCTCCCCTTTACAAACACCCTTGGTGGCACCAGTTCGCTCTTGTCTTTCCCCTTCATTAGCTCTCTCAGTTCTTCTCTAAAACCTTGATCCATGGATATATCTCTCTCGCAAACAAACACCCCATGTCCTTCTATCACTGCCCTCACCGCATTACATTCCTCAAATGTCTTTCGTACCCCTCTCAATGTTGTTGTATACACCACTACCATATTTTCGCCTCTAGGTGGGCATAGCTCTTCGAATTCATATAGAAATGAGGTTTTAGCTACTGTGGGTTTGATAAAAATTGGGTTTTGATGATCTTGATTACAGTTTTCTTGAGAGCTTGGAGTTTTGTTTGGGTTTGAGTTTTCTTTATCGATGAGGGTGTGTCGTTTAGAGGGTTGTGAGTAAAGACGGAAGCTTTCAATGGTGGAATCAAGACCAGCCATGAGCTCCCAAGAGTTGATGACTTCAGGTGGTGCTTCGGACCTGGATTCTGAAACTGCTGTGGGAAAGATCGAGAGGAGGGTCACACGGGGTGGAGGGGTTGGGGATACAGTTGGTTTGGTGGAAGATGGATCAAGCGTCAAGAGGCCATACGTGGTGGAAGTGAGAGACACGATATGGTGGCCCAAGGCTGAGCTGCCAATTTGGCTGAAATCTTCGTCATGGTTTAACAGATGCGATGATGCACAGCCCATGTCGGAAGGTTAGGTGTGTTTCAGAAGCCAATCTAGTGATAAGGTTGAAGAGAAATCAAGACTTATGGACGAGGAAGTGAACTAAAAGTGTTTGACGCACAATTGTTTCAATTTTAAAACTAGCTTGTGGGCTTGATTTTAGCGCCCAAGTTTGAATTAGATTAAAGTAGACTCTTCATGCTTTTGTTTTTGAATCTTTGCCTTTTTAGAAAGCCAAAATTATCTGGCAGCGAATGCAATTTTGAAAATGAATCCCACCAATCACTATATATATATATATATATATATATATATATATATATATATATATATATATATATATATATATATATATATATATATATGACAAAATTGCAAGTTTGGTCCTTGTGGTATGTCAAAAATTGGATGTTTGGTCCAAAAAGTTTTGGGGTTGTACTGGTGGTCCAAAAGCTTTGATTTGTTGTGGAATTGGTCCAAAGGCTTAACAGCCGTCTACCCCTCCGTCTGTGTGAGGGTATTTTTGTCAATTCACGCTCATTCCTTTGATATTTTATTAAATTAAACCTCATCATCCTAATTAATTGATACCTGCCGCCAAATCCTCTGTGCATTTCGTCGATCGACTCTCCTGTCACTTTCATCTTCATTCGTTACCCAGAAGCCCTAACCTCCAAGTTGAGTTTTTTATTGTGATCGGTGTTATTTCAGTGTATGAACATACCAATGTGGAATATAAGGCTCTTAGACAAACCGTTCAACGCAAAGGTGGCTTATGGTAAGGATTTTGTAATTTCTCTGTACATTACATGTTTTGTATGTGAAATCATGCTTCTGAACTTATTTTTGTTGTTGGTTTGAAGAAGGCCACCCAACATTATTTACCATCAAGCTATACCATGGAGGTGAGTTCACCAAGTTTCCTGATGTTCAATACATTGACGGAAGTGTGAACTATGTTGACATGGTGGATATAGACACGTTTTCAGTTCATGAGTTGGATGCTATCATGAAAGGGTTCAGGTACGGTGTTCCTCCTGTGATTTACTATCACTTCCTTGTCCCTGGTGGAGACTTCCACTTTGGTCTTAAACCCTTAGGTAATGATGATGATTTACGAACTTTTGCCCAATATGTGTGTGATCACAAAATCATGAGGGTATATATTGAACATGGTGAGACAAAGTTACTTACCTACTTTATGAATCCTAAACCTGTTAAGAAGGTAACTATTGTACAAATGGATGAAATAGATGAAAATGATGACAATGAAAACCACACAGCTGAGGTACAAGAATTTCCAAGCCCACCTAGATCATCCCCTGTTGAGTTTGAGGTACAACCATTACATGTCGAGGTTCATGATAGACAAAAAGAGCTTATTGCCAATGACTTTATGGAGGCAGCTACAGAATTTGATATTGGTTTGTATCAAAAGATGTTACAATCAAATGCAGATGTTCATGAACATGTACAAGTAGAAGTGGAAGAACATGTTCAAGATGAAGTAGAAGAACATGCACAAGTAGAAGTAGAAAAAAATGTACAAGATGAAGTGGAACTGGATCATGGACATAAGGCTGCCATGGAAGACAACTTGGATAATTACATAGATAATTACATAGACAACAACATGGATGATTACATGGAGACTGAAATGGAGCATGACAATGGGAGCAAATCTGATGGAGAAGATGGGAGCATATCTGATAGGGGAGAGGGTAGTCACTGTGATGAGGAAAATGACAGTGAGGATAGTGAGGATAGTGAGGATAGTGATTGGGTGGATGAGGAGAATATCATTCCTGAAGTTGAAGTGGATATGAGGGATTTCCACATGAGCATTGACACTGAAGCAGAGTTTTTTGAGAAAAGACTAAGGAATAGCATGGAAAAAGATAGAAATCATGAGCATGAAGATATGGAGTTGGATGTTATTGACAATGATGAATGGGATTCAACAGATGATGATTCTGAGATGGGCAAGAAGAGAAGACAAGTTATTAAAGAATTAGGTAAGGAAAAAAGGTGTTCTTTAGGAGAAGTTCATAAACCAACATTTCGTATAGGACAAAAATATAAAAGTAAAAAAGAGTTGAAAGACAAAATTGCCCATCATGCCTTGGAAACCAGGAAGAATCTTTTTATTAAGAAAAATGATAAACTTAGGTTGCGGGCCACATGCAAAGGAAAAGTAGTATTCAATGAGGGGCAAGTGGATGGACCTACCACTGGGAAGAAAAGTAAAGGCAAAAGTAAAAAGACAAAGACAAGTACTGAACTGTCTTGTCAGTGGGTTTTACAAGCATCTAGGAAAAGTGAGGAAGAAAGTTGGTGTGTGAAAACCTACCAACCTGAGCATTCATGTCTCAATACAAGAAAGGTAAGAACGGCCACAGCAAACTTCATCTCTAAACAGATTATGGATCTAGTGGAATCTAACCCAACTGTGCCAATCAAAGCTGTACAAGAACTACTTCAGAAAAGATATCAGGTGAGCTTCTCCAAAGACAAGGTATTTAGGGCTATAGCAGATGCCAAAAAACATGTGATGGGAGACTACACAAAACAATATGATGTGCTGAGAGATTACATATTAGAGTTGCAGTCCACAAATCCTGACACAACTGTGAAACTGGAACTGGTTCCAGAACCAAATCTTGTAAATGCAACTTCAAGATGTTTTCAGAGAATTTATATTTGCTTGGGTGGAATGAAAAAGGGGTTCAAAGCATGCTTAAGGGATTTTATTGGTTTAGATGGGGCCTTCATGAAAGGAGCTTACCCAGGGCAGATCTTGACTGCAGTTGGCTTAGATTCTAACAATGGTATATACCCATTGGCATACGCCATTGTTGAGTCTGAGAGCACACAAAGTTGGAAATGGTTTCTAGAGTACCTGGGAGATGATTTGGACCTGTCACAACTTCAAACTTCACTTTCATAAGTGATAGACAAAAGGTAATAGATTTCCTTGATGTATTTTAGTTTTCTTATTACACTTGTATTATACTAACCACAGTTTAATGACTTTGTAGGGCTTAATTCCAGCCATTGCACAGTTGTTCCCGGTTGCTGAACACAGATTCTGTCTTAGACATATCTATGAAAACATGAGGAAGAGATGGAGAACTACTGAGTACAAAGAAAAGTTATGGAACTGTGCCAAAGCCACAACAGTGCAAGAATTCAATCGTTTGATGAAAGAGTTTAGTGAATATGACATAGAAGCTTATGAATGGTTGAAGAAGATCCCACCACAACATTGGGCTAGAAGCCATTTCACAGGTAGACAACTCTCAATTCAGTGCTAAGTTACACAAATTTGTTGTATGCTGTTCTAAATAACAATTATCTTGCAGGTAGACCAATCACAGACATGCTTTTAAATAACCTATGTGAAGTGTTTAACAGTAAACTGATAGAAGGTAGGGATAAACCAATAATCACATGCTTAGAGTACATTCGGGAGTACATGATGAAGAGGATTTGCAATGTGATAAAGGTTCAACAGAAGTGTGCAGGTCCATTGACTCCAACAGCAACAAAGATCATGGAAACAAACACAACAAATGCTTCTAACTACATAGCCAGGTGGAATTCCTCAGACAAGTATGAAGTACAAGGACCATGGCAAGATCAACATGTTGTTGACATGGGCCAAAGGGTATGCAGCTGTAGGAAATGGGAATTAACAGGAATTCCTTGTAGGCATGTGATTGCAGTCTTATTTGATAAAGCTGACAATGGTGAGGATGTGGGTGAACTTTACACTTATGTACACAAGGTGCATTGGCTTGAAACCTGGAAAGAGGCTTATTCCTACAAGGTAGAACCAATCAAAGGTCGTATCATGTGGCCTGTTAGTGATTGTCCAATAAAGATCAGCCCTCCTCCACATCGTAATCAGCCTGGTAGGCCCAAGAAGAAGAGGCAAAGATCCATGGAGGAAAAATCTCAAAGTCAGAGCCAAACTCAAAGTCAAAGTCAAACAATTGGTGCTAGTGGTATAGATGGTCATGGTCCAGGGGGCAGTGGAAAACTCACAAGGAAGTTCATTACTGTCACTTGTAGCAAGTGTAAAAACAAGGGACATAATGCAAGAACATGTAAGGGGCAATGAGGAAATTGATGTGTTGTCTTGTTGGATTAAGATGATGTAATGTGTTACTTTTGGGAACCATTGTGTTGTTCTTTTGGGTGTCTGTTTAATGGTTTTGATGTTTTTTGGACAACTTTACCCTCCGTTTAGAATGATGTTTTTTTTGGTCATGTAACAAGAATTTGGTATGTGCAAACAATGGTTATTAACTTTGGATGTTCTTTTGTTTATGCATCATTGTCCTTTACTTTTTAGCATCTTTATGTTACTATTAGGTTATGTTAAGCATTAACAGTTTGTCCCATCACTGCTATGTCTAGTAGAACCAAAATATTTGGATGTTTGAAACAAATAACTTCATTACCCACTAACCATAACAATGCATTCACTTTCATGTCCAAAAGAGTACATTCACAAACATAGCAATTTTCCCAAATCTACCACAAAATAAACCACTAAAACATGGAAGAACTACTTCATCAGAAAAAAAACAAACCCAAAAAAAACCCAGCTACATATCAGGTACAACTTTAGTTTTGATTTTTCTTCCTTTATTTTTCCAATATCATACTTGAACATTTGATTTTCTTCCTTCAATTTTCCAACTTCAGTCTTTAGCTTGTTGATTGATCTCAGCAACCCAGGTATTATTGATTTTGATCGTTCACACATTTGAGGGTCGATCCATCCCACAAACCCACATGTCGAATCCTAGCAAAATATAAGAAGGAATTGAGTGATCAGTGAAAAATCTTCATAACCAACCACATGAATACTAACCTCTTTAGGGCATCCCCAAAAACGTCGACCAGGGTTCTTATCAGTCCAAGCCGTTCGCACTATCGCCATTTGACCACAAAAACACCTCACCATTGTTGATTTTGAGTTTGGAAGACACGATTTTGATTTTAGCAGGAGGAGATATCGATTTAGGGAAAAGATGAAACACATGTTCGATCTATTAATAAGGAGAGTAGACGTTAGGGGGTTTAATTTAATAAGATATCAAAGGAATGAGCGTGAATTGACAAAAATACCCTCACACAGACGGAGGGGGTAGACGGCTGTTAAGCCTTTGGACCAATTCCACAACAAATCAAAGCTTTTGGACCACCAGTACAACCCCAAAACTTTTTGGACCAAACATCCAATTTTTGACATACCACAGGGACCAAACTTGCAATTTTGTCATATATATATATATATATATATATATATATATATATATATATATATATATATATATATATATATATATATATATATATAGAGAGAGAGAGAGAGAGAGAGATGATCATTTGATAACTCATAATTTCTCGAAAACCTGAAAACTAAAGATGGTTCATTAGATTAAAATCTTAAATTGTTTGGATTGATCATGGCTTAATTATAACTATCTATTGTTTCAATGGAATCTTTAGATATTTTATAAATAAACTGAATAGCAAATTGGGAATTAAAAATATCATCTATAATAATCACCTTAACAAATTAAAAAACCCACTTTTTCTCACAAACACATACGTCTTCCCACTTTCTCTCTCATCTCTCAGCTTCTTCACAAATCACGATTGCCTCCCCGCTCCATCCTCCGCCTCCTTCCCACGAATCTCTTCCTGCACAATCTCTCCACTGCCGATTCCTACTAAAATTGCAGCCACATTGAGTATTAAACTCGATGCATACAGTAAGGTTCAACGATCGATCCAATGATTGTACCCGGATATCAGTGATGATCTCTCACATTCTCCTTTTGCACTACCTTATGATTGCAACTAAACTCCAATGGAGTTGGCAAACGTGATGTTGCGAACGGCATCGGAATCATCGAACGTTGCCTCTCATCTTTCTCCAAATCTAGCTGTTCACCACATCTGTGCACCTCTATTCCTCTATTCCAATCTCGTTTCATCGGAAACCAATTGATAAAAGATCCCATTACACTAACCGATGATGCTATCGAATCTCACATCATTGCTAAGCCAACACAAACGTTTCTACCTCCTCCATTGGGATACGACATCATTGAAATCCAAAGATGATGGAGGGATGAAAAATACAGGTTTGATTTACAATTCGTTCACAATTTGGTTTATTTTGATCTCGATTTGTTTTTGTTTCATCAAAATTGTTCCTTTTTAAGTCGACCTATTTCTTTTGATTGAGAATCGATCATTTGGATTAAAATTTTATACATTCAGAATTTGTTCTGGTTTGATTAGTGACGAAATTGAAAGCTGTAGGGAAGTATTAAGGACTATATGTGCTTTATGATTGCTATTTTATTGGTTATGTAATATAGATTTCTTGATTTGGTTTATTAGCATCTCATGCATGAAACAAGAGTACTAATAGATACATAATAATTCATTTATATGTTGGTAATGATTAATCTGATTTGTGTTAATATGGAAAGTACTGCAAGTGTGAAATTCCTTAAAATCTTGATAATTTCATGATCAGATGTTAGTTTTACATGTGTAGTATTAAACAAGTAAATAGTCTCTAATAAGCATCACCAAATGCCTACCATGTGTTTATGAAAAGTCTTACTGAAATCCTCTTGTTCCTTGGATAACATGAATCCTCCGATCATGTTTAATTCCATATTTCTTCTAAATCCTTGTTTTCTATTCACATTTTTCTTGTTTACATACATTATCAGATTCTTCTTATTTCTCCTTTTCCATTACTTAATAATATACTTTGAAACCTCTTATGTTTGACCCCAAAATATAAATTAAACTTAGAGTGTTGACACTGTACATTGTCCATGTATTGGAAGGGAAAATATGGAAATGTGATATTCTCACTTAAGTCAGGAGTCGGTTAGCTCTTAAGACGGTGATTTTCATAGCTCATATTAGCTTTCATTTACTTAAGGATCATTCACACCCTACGCTCATCCATCTGCTTAAAACATTAATAGAAGCTCCTTATTTCTTTTTAATTCTCATCAGATTATTTCAATTCTTTTATGTTTGAGAAAACACATAGCACAATGCTCTTATTTCTTCATGTTTCTATTTTTTAGCGTTGGATTTGGTATTTGAGAAAATAGACCCTAACTATGACATGTTATTGTTATCTATCCTAGTCAGTTGATTTACATGTTCTTTCAATTGTGTTGATGATTTATGAGGATTCTTCACACCATATGCATCAAAATTATTTATCACATCTTTGTCTGCTTTCATAGAGTAAATGAAAAGGAAAATGGATGTGATACCAACTCCACCAAGATTTGTATTTGTCACATCTTTTACATTGCATTCATTCTTTTTATCAAAGCATTGTAATTTCATTTTCTTTTATTAAGATATTATTATACATTTAAAATTTTACCTAATTATATCATTGCATTGCCATTTCTTGTTATTTATATATTTAATCCAATTTGCTAGTTAGTTGTTCGTGTGGTTGAAAATTATGCAGGATCCGAGAGCACTATACAAGTTATGTTTACTAGATGAGAGTAGCAGTGGATGACTTTCTACTAAAAGTCAATTTATGGTGAGTCATGTTGTATTCTCTTGGCTTCTAATATATTAATACAACTTATAGGCAGTTTTCTTTTTTACTTAATGGGCTTAATGAGTTCAATACTTAAATCCAGACAACTATGGTTTTTCTTTTTTACTTACCTAAATTTATAAAAAATTCAATGTTGTAATTACACGTGATTCAAATGTAAATCAAATATGAAGTATATGTGATTCACATGTAATTCATGTATGGATTACAAGTGATTTACATGTGAATCACATGTAATTCACGTATGGATTACATGTGATTTACATGTGAATCACATGTAATTCACATATGAATTACATGTGATTCACATGTAAATCACATGTGATTCACATGTAATCACAAGTAATTTACATATAAATTACATGTGATTCACATATAAATCACATGTAATTCATATATGAATTAGATGTGATTCACATGTAATTCACATATGATCTACATGTGATTCACATATGAATTACATGTAATTCACATGTAAATCATATGTAATTTACATATGAATTACATATGATACACATGTAAATCACATATGATTTACATGTAATTCACACGTAAATCACATATAAATTACATGTAATTCACATATGAAGTACATGTGATTCACATGTAAATCGCATATGAATTATATGTAATTTACATGTGAATCACATATGTATTTTTATGAATACATTTGCATCAATCATTTTTTTTTGAATTTTCGTGTAAATTTTAAAGACATTGTGGTGAACATTGAAGATGTGAAAATAATAAATTGAAAAAAAATATATAAATATTGACATGAATACATCAAAACGCTTTGAAATTTTGTAGCATTTTTTTGTTTTTTTTTTGTTTTTATTTTTTGTATTGAATAAAATACTTATTTTATTGTGTTTTTAGATTAGTAAAAATGAGTTTTCTTATGATTTCCTTACAAATAGTATAGTATATGAAATATGTATGTTTGTGTATGTGTGTGTGTGTGTGTGTGTGTGTATATATATATATATATATATATATATATATATATACCTAAAATTCTCATTTTTTGGGTTTTGAAAAATTATTGTATTTTTTAATTATGCCAAAAAAATTGATGCTTTTAAAAAAATGCAGTTTTTTTTAAATATATATATATATATATATATCTAATTTTTTTTTCAAAAATTTCATGTTTTCTATAAAAAAAATTAAAACATCTGCATTTTTTAAAACACGCTGTATGACTTGTACCCTACGCGTACGTCTCTGTTAAGTCATTTTCCATTAATCACTTAATACTCTATTCCAAAGTCTATAATCATAGATCCAAGTCCTCTTCAACATCTTTATCCATAAAGCCGATTACTTGATGGCTTGCAACCCACCAAGTAAGACCAAACTTGAAATATAGCAACTAACTTCCATGGAATGACTCGAAACTCATGCATGTACATAAAAGGACCCTAAAGGTCGAAGCTTTACTACTTATGGGACATGAACATCACTGAGTGTAGCACCTCTTAGCCTAGAAACGAACTTGAGTGACAAAGGCCCATTCCTGGAACTAAAAAGATTCCAAAACAACGCTACACTAGATCTAAGCATACTTGAGGAAAGTTCAAGGCTTTATACCTCAATATGATCTAAAATGGAACAAAAATCTCGGATCTACGGCTCCTCCTTTGAAACACCACCTTGCTTTGCTCTTCACTTGCTTGGAAAATGGCTCCATAAC